TTCGTTTAAAGACGGATTTTGTGGATGGACTTGAATAAAATTAATATCAGTCTTTGGACAATGATGGCTATTCCCTAGTGCATTCCTGGCAGGATCTCTACAAAATGTTGCTGAGGAGATCCACTGTGGCTGTTGTTGTTGTCATGGAGATGGTTGCTGAATAGATGAGCGGTGCAAGATAACATAGTGTGATGTCTTTCTAAACAATGCATTTCAGTAAACTTTTTAAATTAGAAAAAAACTAATTTCTTGACGGTATTCAGCAAATAAAATGAAAGCACTAATGTCTCAACAAATATTCAATTCTTTACTTGTTTAATCATTATGCTTTTTAAACAAAAAACATTGCAAACTTGGGGTGTTACTGTAAAATACTTTATTTTAGCTGGAGTTAATTTTCGCTAAAAAAAGACATTTTGGGTGTATTGTATGGAATTTATTTTCACTGATTTTTGACAAATTGAATATTGAAATATAGGAAAAAAGGTATATTCGTTGGATTTTAATTTCACTGAATCATTCCTTCAGCGAAAATAGCGAAAATTAATTCCAAGCGAAAATAAAGTATTTTACAGTACATGATGTGTTCAAAACTAATTTGTCCTTTCAAAGACTGGCAATTTTAAAACTGAAGCACCGTAGCAATATATAAAATACTGTTAAATACTTTATTTTCGCTGGAATTAATTTTCGCTGAAAAGGCTTTTTGGGCGTTTTGTATGGAATTTATTTTCACTGATTTTTGATGAGTTTAATGTGAAATATAGGAAAAAAAGTATATTCGCTGGATTTTATTTTCACGGAATCATTCCTTCAGCGAAAATAGTGAAAATAAATCCCAAGCGAAAATAAAGTATTCTACAGTAGTAGTACATACTTAAGTGCATCTGGAAATTTCACAATGCGAAAAAATGTATTTCTCATTCACCTATAAATGATTGAAGTTGAGTGATAATTTGTTTTGAAGGAATTCTAGTACTTACGTAATGATTAGTACAATCTGACATATCACAGGCATTGTTAACAATATTTTTTAGAAAGAATGGAAGGCAAATACTTAAATTATAGTAATAATAAATGGCATTGAATACTCACAATGGCATTCATAAGACAGTGATTAATGACATCTAGACGTATTATCATTTATGAATTCTCCATTGTTTGATGTTTGTCATCAAATATCTGCACATCATGGTAACTATAATTTAAGTGTACTTAAAACATACTTGAAATTTCAAAAGTATACTTTTTAATGTACATTTAATAAGTATAATTTCCACTTCAATTACATTTTACTTTAATAGTGAAGAGGCTGTTTTAAAAATATGAGTGTACAGATAGCATGAACTTTCAGGGTCTGTGAAACATATGTGAATATTGAATGGAAAACTTAATGTGTACAACTGCTGTTCTGTGTGTCACAGTGGTGGAGTGCGTGATATACAAGTTTATTAGAACATCTTTTTTAAACTTCAGTATTCACCAGCAATGGGTCACCTTGAATCAGTCTTAGCATCAATTATCTATAATTACCCATAGAAAACAGTAATCCTGGAATTCATTCTCAGTCCCCAGTTAAATCCAAATGGTTGCACCATTATCCATGCTTCAGTGAAACAAGATACCTGCGTTTGAATAATCTCTCAGCTGAACTTATCCTAAATAACAAAGCTGTGTGTGTCCTTCATATAAATTCGGTTCAAGGTTTGTAATTGCTATTGGTAATATACATCTTATTGTTTGTGAAGGGGGGTGGCATGACGCATGTAATAATAATTATTATTATTGATATTTTATCTGTGTTATGATTACCAATGTATTGTTGGTAATTCTGCACCAAATCTGCATCATGTAAAGAAAACCAAAAGTTAATGATTTGATCCTAAATTAGTTAATTACTTATGATTATGATTTCTTGATGCTGAGTCAAGTTTTGTAATTTTTCACAAAATAAACCTGCATATTTTGTTCCAAATTTGTTTCAGAAGTTTTGATCAAAATGTGATATTATGTTCATTTGGTCCAAATAAATTATAGAAAAATAAATAAAAATTTTCAAAATGCTGCACAAATATTTTAGTTGGAAAACAACTATACCCTTACAAAATAGAAATTTATATTTCTAATACATTAATAAAGTAGGTTTTAAATAGATTTTATATTACAAAAAAAACACATTTTAAATACATTAGTAAGTGAAATAAAAGTATTTTTAAAAGTACCATGTTTCCAATACATTTCATCACATTAAAATATGTTCAGCTGTGTGATAAATAAATGTATTTTAAATTCGTTTTCTCATAAAATTTATTTTAAATTGATTTTACGCAACTAAAAATCTACAAACATGTAGTTTAAATAGCGTGTTGTAAAATAATGTACACTTACAATGACTAGATGGACATGCAAAATTTAAATTTTATTGTCACAGACAAAATGCAGAATATAATTCTGTACACAAATAAAGCTTTAATAGTATTATCATGCTCATATTTGTAAATATATGCCTTACCAACAATTAAATATCAGTTTCATAGATTCAGTTGTGATTGATTTTTCAGCGTCACAGGGTGCCAATCAAGCCACCAAATCGCACACAGAATTCTCTGTATGACGATTGAAGATGGGCTGTGTTACAAAATCAATATTATTGTAAAGCATTTTCCATCAAGTATTATCATGCTCATATTTGTAAATATATGCCTTACCAACAACTAAATATCAGTTTCATAGATTCAGTTGTGATTGATTTTTCAGTGTCACAGGGTGCCAATCAAGCCACCAAATCGCACACAGAATTCTCTGTATGACGATTGAAGATGGGCTGTGTTACAAAATCAATATTATTGTAAAGCATTTTCCATCAATAGTTTAGTCTGAGATGCACACCAATTGTTTTTTCTGGATAACCATTAGATCCCTACCTTTTAAAGTTATAGGAAGACTATTTTACTTTTGTTTTCACTGTGTCCAAGCAAACATCGAACATTACGTACTTCCTAGGTCAGTTTTGTTTAGCACACTCCCGAAGCAGAATTTGAACAGCCATGCATGACAGGATTTATTGTAGTGAAGACAAATAATAACTAGATAAACAGCACAATGCACCGGTCTTAAAACAGTATAACTCATAAGTGCCATAACTTTCTGATTTGATTTTTGGCCAACTGACTCAAAATTGAAATGGCTTTCAAATAAGTTTGTCTAACATTACAACTTTATTATAGTAAAGTTTATAATAATGTATGTGATAATATGAAAGAAAATTAATAATAATAGGAATTATTGATGACCCCTCGAGGTCACACTTCTTGGTGCTTTTCTGGAAAGAGTCAAATTCACTATATAGACATTTTTTCCATTATGTCATAGCTTTTTTCAATGATAAAATAGTGTATCATTGTTAGAGGATTATTGTCTTAGAAAAGATAAGACCAGAGATGAGAACACTGTGCTTCTTATGTGTTACAGTGAATGAGAAAAAGTAGACAAATATATCATAGATGTTTGCGAGAGTAGATGACTGCTTGTTTACATATGTTACAGTGAGTGATATTGTAACATTTTACATCTGTTTTCTTAACAGCTGCTTCATCCAGTGAGGTTGTTTTGTTGAGAGAACAACTTACAGCTTTAAGTAGTGAGTTGGTGTCATTACGAACATCAATTGCTGTGAAAACTGCCAATGGTACCACAAATGGTTGCCATGATGGACTTCAGGATGCAGAAGGTACGGTAATAGTAATAAAATGGATACTGCCCTCGGTGGTGAAATTCATATTTTCTTTTGTTTTTATTTCCTATATTATTTGTGCATGTTTTTTTCTTGCCATAAAAAATTTGTTTGCGTTATTGTTTTATTGTGCAATTTTATTACAGATCTTGGGGACTTCATTGTGGGTTCTGAACAACAGAGTGGACTTTCCGCTGTGAATGGTAAAGCTGAAAATACTGCCAGTATTGTAAAAAGAAAAGAAAACAAGATTGATTTAGAAGATCTTATACATTTATACGGTCCATTAACAGAAGATTCTATTCTAAAAACACTACAACATAGATGGAACAAAGGATGTTGTTATGTAAGTATTTATCCCATGTATATCAGGGCATTCACAAATGTATTTAATAGCAGGCCAACATCCTGTAAAAACAGGCCAAAAAATAAATAGAAAGGCTCTCAGCAGCGCAAAGTGCTGCAGCGAGACCGACGTAGGCAGTCGAGAGGGCAGAAAGTATAGCAGGGTCGTATGGCCGGCGACCGGCTCTTAACGAAACTCCTGTATATATAGCTATCCCCCCTATTTTTAAAGTAGAATCACCAAATAGTGATATATGGAGTTGGTAATTTCATAATACTTCCAATGATCTGTGTTTGTTGTTGATTGTTGTCTTAGAATGTTTTGTGACGTAGCTCCGCTTTCAAGAATAGAAATATCATTTTGTTGGAATATATTTTTTGATTTTATGCTACTAACTTGCGTATGGAATTGAAAAAAAAATTGTAAAAAAAGAAAGTTAAAAAATTACTAATAACTCTAATGTTTATAAAACATTTGGTGTAATCTGTATTAAAATTGTTGAATTCCAGACAAAAATTGGTCCCATCCTGCTATCGTTGAACCCATACAAAGGTACTCCAATAGAAAATGCATTACACCATGGTGGGGAAAATCATCCATATTTATTGAATGTAGTGAAGGATGCTGTTAGACTACAAACAGAAACAGGATGTTCACAAGCCATTGTACTCAGGTAAGCTGTTACTTTGCTCTTGTCATAGTGGATTAAATATAAAACTACATGTATTTCAGTTATGGTTCTCAGTGCTAACTTTTGGAAAGTCGCAGGTGACAAAATAGATATCTACGCAATGACTGACTAATTGATAATAGATGTTAGTTATGACTTAAATCTCATGGGACTTGCCCCTCAAATAATGTTCCATTCTCCCCCATCATCACATGGACTGGTCCAAATACCATAGTTAATGCATATTGAGTCACTCCTTTGACTTCATCTAACCAAAAATGTTGGGAATAACTACATTTTAAGATCACGTTCAACAGGGTGAGGCTCTGACAGTTCCATTTATATTATCTTTCCAATGGTGAAAGCAAGAATAGGACAAACTATTGGCCATTGGTACTGCTAAGGCCTTTGGGTATATTGGGAAATGTTTCAGTGGTTTTACTTTTTGACTCCCGTGTGCGAAGCACAAAAGGGAGTCTTTGCAGTTACCCTGTCTGTATGTCTGTCTGTATGTCTGTATGTATGTATGTACACAAATGTATGTATGTATGTCACTTTTTTGTTCCACCGTTATCTCAAGAACCACTAATCAAATTTTGGTGAAACTTGGTACATAGATGCTCTGGGATAATTCGCAGAGTTGATTAGGTTTGGGTAAAAATTTATGAATATTAATTACCTAATTTGCATGATAATTAACTGATTTTAAGCTGTTCTATGACTGTTCCACTGATTTTTGAAGAACCACTCATTGGATTTCAATGAAACTTGGCACATGGATGCTCTGAACTAATGCGCAGATTTGATTAGTTTGGGTAAAAATCTATTAATATTATTAATTACCTAATTTACATAATGATTAATCAATTTTCGGCTAATCATAACAATTTCAATAAAACTTGGTACATAGATGTCATATGACACTGCACAGACCTGATAGTTTTTAGGGTAATATCAGTACATATTAATTACCTAATTTACATAATTAATTAATTTTCAGCTTTTGATATTTCGAGTACCGGTAGTAATGATCACGTTTCAATGAAACTTGGTACATAGTTACTTGAGGACTGTGCAGAGACCTAATTAGTTTTGGGGTCAATATTTGTGCATATTAATCACCTAATTTGCATTATTAGTTAATTTTTTGCTGTTCTATGGCTGTTGCACTGATGTCTAAAAACCACTCATTGGGTTTCAATATAACTTTTAAAGAGTACCCATCACATTTTAATGAACTTAGGACTATACACCATATTAGTTTTTGGTAAATATTTATGCTTATTAATCACTTAATTAACATAATTAATTAATACTATATCTGAAGTATTGATCATCACATTTGAATAAAACTTGCTACATAAATGCTCTAGGACAATAGACAGCCTGATTAATTTTGGGTTAAAATGTGTTCATATTAATTCTCTAATTAGCATAATAATTAATATTTTTTTGGTTCTAATCACATTTCAATGTAACTTGGTACATTGTGCAGACCTTATTAGTTTTACACTTAAATCTGTTAATATTAGTTACCTTATTTGCATAATTAGTTTTCTGCGTTTCCATTTTGAATTAATTTTTAATGTGTCTCCAATACTCTCAGCACACGGGAGTTCTTTCTAAGCTTTCTTTGATTTCTATTTTTGTAGTGGGGAAAGTGGGAGTGGCAAAACCTATTCATCATTGCTACTGCTGAGACAATTGTTTGATGTGGCAGGAGGAGGGCCAGGAACTGATGCATTCAAGGTATGACCAATAGGTCATCAATATAGCCAGATTTAGCATATTAAAAGTCAAAAGTTGAAATGCCGCTGGAAGCCATTCCATACTATTCTATGATGTATCTACTATCTAAGCAGAACTGTTCTACCAAGTTAAAGGGTGGCAGTCGTCCTGCAGCATCCTGTTTGATATGGGACTCATAGTGACGTATACAATGTGTGTAAAATACATTGTTTATTTACATGAAATTCGAACACGCGATGCGCGGCGACCACCACGCTTTAAATAAAGGACTAAAATAAACTAAGCTTATATCGGGCTAAATTGAGTTTGCAGTGTTATTATTTTCAATTCAAGTGATATTTGCCAATTTGTTTATAAATAAAAATGTACCTGTCAATAAAATAGATGTATTTGCACAGATGTGCCCTCCATATATCAGTGCCCCTACTATCCAATTAAAAAAGGTAATCCGATACGACAGCATTGCTCAATGAAAACTATTGATGGCAAATAATTGAGACACCTGTGAAAACATTCATGGTTTACAGCTTTGTGTATCCAGTATCAAGGATAGATAATGATAAGGGTGTGCAACTAGTGTGACACAAGATGACTTCAGCGTTTACATATGGGTTCTGTCTGCTAACACGAAACAAATATTGTGGACTATTGAATTTTCGCTGCTAGGACTTTTTTAGATTTGATGATCTTGAGAACAAAATTTGGTTGTCACTTATTTTAGGAACACAGTGATTCATAATTTTGTGTTTTTCACTGATGCAAATTCAGTGAAAAAATTTGACTCTTGAAATCCTAGCAAGTTTGAAAATGTAATCACATAAATAAGTTAATAAGCAAATTACTGTGGATTAATTTATTTTTGTGACATTTTACATTTATTTGTCATTTGTTCAAAGTGTGTTATTATTCATTTCCAATTAAACAGCATGTTTCGGCAGCAGTGACTGTGTTGAGGTCCCTGGGGACTGCCAAGACTGTGCATAATTCTGAATCGTCACGGATGGTAAGACATTCTTTAATTTCACATCTATACAATACATATATGTACTGACAGCAGATACGTGCTCTCATGACTGACTTGTATCTCATTCACTTGATGGAGGAACTAATGAACTATACTGTGAATTATATTACAATCGTTTTCACTAAACATTGGACAATCAGATTGTGGTAAATGTTGATACATCAGAGCAAGTACCTAATGAAATTGCCACTGATTTTATCACCACTAATCAAAACATTATAACTGTAGCATAAACATTTTTGATACAATGTATACCTGTCTGAGTCCAAGGCGCCATTTTCTCTTTTATTGTTTGCGCAAGACATTTCGTTTTTTTAGCGTGAACAGTGTGAATTCTGACCAGCATTGCTGATTTACAATGCTATTTTGACAATGGCTGAATATCTTTTCAAGCTACATTTTACTTATTACACGGAGGACAGAATTGTTCCCATCTATGTTACAGAAAACGAGTTTATGTGCATGTCATATCAAAATTTTGTTGACTGTCTATGCGAACAGATTGCTTTTTTTAAGGCGAATGCAGGCTATTCGTCTGCAAATCATCAAGGAAATACAAGTGAACATATATTGTTTTAATACTGGTACAAGTTGCCTTCCATTTCAGTTCGTATTGACCTATTTTTGGCGGAAAGCAAATCACACTTTCTCTATCAAAAATTTGACATGCCCCGGGTGTGATGTGACCAATGGCGTCTGCTGTAGCAAACTCAGTAAATCTATAGGAAAATTCCTGGTTTCCCCCCAAATACGATTTTATAGACCGAAAACATTGTTCACAGATTATACTGGGGACTGTATGGTGGT